GCTCTAAGAGGTCAAAAAATAAGGGTTTTGCAGCTCTAAATAAAATTACGATTTTTGGGGAATTGGATGTAGTCGTGTATTCCGCCACTTCGAGACTCTCTTTCGAAGGTGAGATCACCACCGGCTTTGAGAAAAAATCGCTCCTAAATGCATGATTGGGCAAAGATATGCGTCTTCCAAGTAAACTCCCTAGTTCAAGAACACTGGGACATGGCGAAGGCTCCCCTCCCCCTTAAAAATGTGGTTTTTTTTTTTTTTTTTTTTTTTAATCTCTTAAGTTTTAAATTATCATTTTGATATTTAAATTTGTCAATTAAGTCAATTTGGTCGTAAGTCTAACGTCCGTCTGTATTAATAATAAAAATATGGGTAAAAGATAATTTTAGTCTATAAAGTATGTGTTTATTGTTGTTTCAATCCCTCAAATTTTAAATTTTGTTATTTTGGTCATCAAAGTTATTAATTTGAGTCAATTTGATATCTCAAATTGACAACGTTGAGCATAAATGACAAAATTTAAAATTTCGTGTACTAAAATGACTAGAAACTCACTTTGGAAACATTTTGCGCCATTATGCACCTAACATTAACAATATTTAATTCCTTATCTCTACTATACCATTGTGTTGTTGAGTACTAGGAATAATTAATTTTCTAAGCATCCATCTCTCTTCACAGAGTTTTTCTGAAAAAATAACTCAAATAGATACTCGCCACCTTGGTCAAAACTAAAAGCATGAAAGTTGTTATCTAATTGATCTCGACCTCATATGTGCAATGTCAAAAATCATCTCAAAACTTTTGACTTATGGGAGATCAAATAGTCTTGACTCAGATGCGTATCGTAATCTATAAATGTGTCGAGATTGAGGCTTAGCTATCATACCCTCACACATATCTAGTCACAAAATATCATAGTGGACTAAATGCGCCAAAACAAATGACCTTCTGCGGCTTTCCTACTTACTTGTGCGCACCCATTGCGAACAAAGTTACACATTCATATAAGAGTAGGATGTCATAAGCGAGTGGGCCCGATAAGGCCTACTCAAACCATTGTGTCATCATCTCATTAATGTGATTTAGTATAATAAGCCACTGGTTCATGACCAATGTCATAAACTAATTCCTAATCATCTTAATGTGTGAGTTCTCGAAGATAAGTTTAAAAGGTTTAGGCCCAACTAGGTAATGACTCAGGACTAATTCATATTCATTAGATCATAAAAAGATGTCATGGAGATATCAACTGCGCCTAAGTCGCAAATTTAACTAGTAAGTGCTAATCCCCTGCACCTTCAAGTCAATTTTATTCTCCATACACTTTAATACATCTAGTTGAAAGATGATGATACTCCTCTTGTCATATCTATTTCTCGCTTCATAGTTACTTGCAATTAATTCTACTATCCACAAGAAGGAGAGAATAAGCTATCACCTATGGCAGCTCCTGAAGTAACTTAAGAGCGAATGAGGCTAAAGAGTCTAATTTCAACACAATGCTCTCACGAGCGATGCGTCAAATTCTTAGAGTCATAACAACCTTGTCGGCCTTGACCTTTTCATTACTATGCTGCAACGTTTGCGCTTAGTGGTAAATGTTATTCAAGACGTTAGCCTAGTAAAGGAATCACACAAAGAAGTACCTCATCCATGTCTCACACTCAAGTGTGGAAACAGTAAGTGTCCAGACTTAGACAAGTTGGCAATGCCAATAGATTTTGCAACCACTAAGCGCTAATCTTTTCACTTAGTGTTAATAGATTTTGCAGCTTCTAAGCGCTAATCTTTTAACTTCACGTGAATAGATTTTGCAGCTTCTAAGCGCTAACCTTTTCACATAGTGTTAATAGATTTTGCAGCTTCTAAGCGCTAACCTTTTCACATAGTGTTAATAGATTTTGCAGCTTCTAAGCGCTAACCTTTTCACATAGTGTTAATAGATTTTGCAGCTTCTAAGCGCTAATCTTTTAACTTCACGTGATATTTCAACGCACACTATTATAGTGCATGAAATTTCGCTCAATCAACTCCCAA